CTGTGCACCCTGAAACATCAAAGATCCACGAATAGACCCCTGAAAAGAATTGTAAATTACGCATTGTAAAAGACACTTAAAAACAAAAAGGAAGTTGAGAACTTCAGGAACCAGTTTCGGTTTACTGAAAGCAAGTCTGGTCAAAAATCTTTTTTTTTTTTTTTTTTTAATGGTACTGGGGATTGAACAGGGCCTCACACTTTCCAGGCAAGCACTCTCTATCTGGTGTACTCTCAACCCTTCTTTATTTTTGTTTTGGGTTGGGTCTTGTTAAATTGCCCAGCCTGGCCTCTTCCTGCCTCAGCCTCCTCAGGTGCTGGGATTGTACAGGTGAGCCACCAAGTCCTGCAAAATTTTTCTTATGTAAAGCCTTTCCTAGTAGGTGTATAAGGAGAGTACCATACACAAGTATCAGTAAGATCCTGGACAAGATGTCCCTTAAAGACAATTTAAACATTGTAGTCGGCTACATGTTGTATCCATAGAAACTTCTTTTTTTTTTTTTGTCTTTTTCCTTTTTATCAGTACCGGGGATCGAACTCACGACTGCCTGCTTGCAAGGCAGGTGCTTATGCTGCTGAGTTAAATCCCCAGCCCCTCCATAGAAACTTCTTAATATTAATGCCACCTCATAAGTTTAGCTCTTTTTTAATAAACTACCTGGATCAGACTTACCGATAATTCCAAATTTGGAGGGAGAACATCAACACATACAGCAAAGTCATTTAAAATGTTGCCAGATTCCCAATGATTCACAAAAAATCAAAGTTAAAATTTAGTAGGGCTACATGCAAAGAGTTCCTCCTAAGTTTAAAACTCAACTGCCCAAATGTAGGAAGGAGCCAGCTCTGCAGGGCCGTGCACTGGAGGGAGGTTTAACCGCTTGGGCTGACTGCAACATTTCTGTGAGTCAACAGAGCCAGCGGTTACCACAACAACTAATGCAACCTTAGGCTGCCCCAACAGACACGCAACCAGCTGTTGTGTCAGGCGGCTCTTGACTCAACCACCCACCCAGAGGCCTGGAGACTTGTGCTGCCCTGTGCATGAGACTGACTCGCACTGATGCTCACCTCATACCGTGCTCTCCCATGTCCTCCCTGCCTGTGCTTACCACCATCTGCAGCCCAGACGCCCATCGGACCCGGCCTGCCTTGACGTCCTTCCCCAGAACCTGCAGAGTAGAACATGTCGTCTGGGAAGGCTCTAGGTCAGTCCTTTTGCTCATGAGTCGCAGTTCAGCATCAAAGCAGACATAGCTGGAGCACACGAAAAGACACCTGCTGTTCTCTCTGGGCTTCGGGTTCTGTTTTGAACTTCAGGGTGGTCAGCAAAGAGGACCTCACGGGCAGATAATCTGACCAAAGAATCACCACCAGGGCGGATTCTTTCACTTCCTCCTCAGCGTTGGCGTTGAGCCTGTCGTCCTCCCCAGGACTTCTGCAGTGTGACAGAGGTTAACAGTGCACCCTAGGGCCACCACCCCACTCCTGGGAGCACTGCGTGGAGAGTCAACCGCACCAGGGCAGCACCACCCAAGCAGTGCCGTGTGGCATGGAGGGCACTTCGGGAGCAAACATTTCTACCATAATGATTACTGTGGTTTTAGCTCACTTAATAGTTGACAAATAATATATTTACATGGCTCAAAATGAACAAATGTTAAAAATTCCATCATTGCCAAACTGGTCCTGCCATCAGAAACTGCTTTTATTTTTTCATTGACATTTTTTTCTCAGAAATTGGAAGTATATACAAACATAGATTCTGTCCCCTCCTTTTTCATCCACATACCTTTTGAAACACGATTCTGTATCTTGGCCTTCTAACAACAGGTCTTCACCAGCACTGAGGCGGCTTCCTCATCCCTGTTACACCTGCATCCCCACCGAGTGACGGGCACGGTGTACTCCCTCAGAGGCCACGAACGGTCTTGCAGACATACCATTTCACTCATCTGAGAACGTATTTATTGGAAAAATTTATGGAATAACAGAGTCCAAGGATTTATCTTTTTGTATGTTGAAAAATATGGATAGAAAGCACAAAAATCCACAATTTCACAATCAGTACTTTTTAATGAGGCTCAATTTTTAAGGGTGAGTCACTGGAAGAAAAATACTAAGCAAATAACAGTGTCAGTGGTTGACCATACGACTGAGAGTTGCGAAAGTAGTACATGCAGCACTGGCACTGAGAAGCACTGACCGCACTGGAACTGTCGCCTCTCTGCCCTACGCTCCTGACAGCTGTAGCTGCCTGCAGGGTTTGTGTCACAGCGTAGAAGTAGAGAGCTTCAGAGTGCAGAGATGTGGGTTCACATCTCAACCTCCCTGCTGCTGGCTGTGAGGCTTCCTGCAGGCTCACCCTTCTTATGTGGGAAGGTGGCTGCTTAGGAGTGGACCGGTCAGGTTAAGTGCTGGGAAACCAATGCCTCTGTGGTCAAGTGGGTTGCTCTACCTCAACTGTAATGAGTGAATTTGGGGAAGAGAAGGAAGGCAGAGTTTTTCCCTTTTAGTATTCTTCCTGTAAGTGCATTCATAACAGCCGCCGGAAGTGAAGCCAGATACACAGTAGGGCAGTAGTGGTGAACCCGTGGCGTGCGTGCCGCAGCGGCACAGAGAGCTCTCCCACCTGGCACGCGAGCCAAGAGGCCCTATCCAAGGTTCGCAAGGCACCAGCATTCATACAACAGCAAAGACTACATTAACTGTACAAAAGCACACCAAAGGCAAACTTCTAGCTTTCAGTAAAAAGCTGTTTGTTTCATCAAAAGCTCTGTTATTATGTTTTTCTTTTAAGACAAAAGATGTTAACATATGAGTTGCTTTTTCTAACCTAAAACCCCAGTATTCAGGTTTAATGGCAGCATGGGCCCTTTGTGATGAGCAGGTGGATGTGGGGCTGCAGTTTGGGCACTCTGTCTCCGAAGGTTTGCCCTCACTGCAGTGGAGTGGGACCTGTGCCTTGCTCGGCTGCCACCACGGCAGGCTGTCTCCTGTTGCTCTTGGAAGTTGCTGACTGGTGCTGCCAAGGGGACCACCTAAGGAGACTCAGACTCTGTTGCTTCTGCTGTGGTGGAGGAGGTCTTCTGCTGACATCATATGTCCTTGTCCTGAATCCTTTAGACCTTCCCCACGGTCATGCAGGGGAGAGCCTGGTTCTAGGTTCTCCTGGGTCTTCTGGGGTGCCCTCGCTGGTATAGCCTGACTCTAAAGGGGCCTTCGTGACTTCTGCTCTTCAGAGGTGCCTGAGCTCCAAGGAAGCACTTAACCGTATGCCCTTCTTGTCCTACATTTTGACCACGAAAGATTGCATTTGGACCTACAAATCCCAGATTCAAATCCTGACTCTGTCATGTACTTCCAAGTAAATTTTCACAAGTCACTTTTATTCTTAAGAGCCTCGAACTGTAAAAATAGTTGTAAGAATCATATCTAGTTCTGCACAGGGGTACAGGCCTGTAATCCTAGTTACTTGGGAGACTGAGGCAGGAGGAATAATCCTCCCTCCCAAAAAGATGGGGGAGGGGTGTTAAAGATAGCTCAATGGTAGAGCATTTGCCCAGCATATTTGAGGCCCTACATTTGATCCCTAGGACCGCAAACACAAAAACAAAAAAGAATAACTTGCTGGTTTATTGTGAGACCAAAATATGTTTATATCAGTAAAATGAACAAGCAGTCTTTGTTTGCTCGGTAGGGTGCTGATCCTCTGTCCTGGCATTCCTGCCCTCCTACCCTGGACTGATGTAGGCAACAGGCTCCAGCGTGCCAGCTGCCACCTCCTCACTGTCCGCTGTTGGTGAGCCTTCAGTTACACCCCTGTCCGAACTCCAAGCCGTTATGCTTTGCTCATACAAAAGCTATCCCTGGCACACAAAAGCTTTGCAGAGTAGTCTATTACCCTGTGATACAATAAAGCCAAAAAATTTATGACACCCTGTTTAGCATCATTAAATGCTGAGGAATCCCCTGCTGCACAGAGCAACGCGACTTCCTGCTTTAGAATCTGCGGTAGTTTTCACTAAACTAAACACGGTTTCTTCTACTTCTCTCTTTTCTTCTGATTACAAGCAGTAGGTGAAATATCCAGTTCTTCCAGCTGGCTTTTGAATTTTCTGTCTTGCTCTCGCTTTTCCTTCTGTGCATTGGGACACAGAGTCCTGGAAGGAAGTCTGGGAGATGAGATTTTCTTTTTTAATTTAAGATTAAAAAGACGCAAAAAAGCAATGCAAAAAGCAATACAGACAAACAGCAAGAAATCAAATACAGTAACAGAACACGTTTATAAAACAAGATGACGGGAATTTGACAATGGCTGGAACGTTGCATACTGTTACCTTTGAGAAGTTTGCTTAGATTAATAGATATTAACGTGTAAAATTGACCTAAACATATGAGTATTAACTGTTCTTTTCCAGTAACTAATACAATTAGTAGTATAGTCATTTTAGCTATACACACACACACACACATTTATGTCAGTTTCCTTTTCTCTTCCTTCTGTCTTCCTTTCCCTTACTCCAATGAAGAAGAGGAGATGTTCTGAAGCCTGGAAAATTGGTTCTTAGCAGGGCAGGAAAATATATTAAGAACCAACTACAATATTTCAGGTAGGCACTAATACCAAGGTAGCCCCAGGAAGAGAGGACGGGTGTGGATAAATGCCAGTGACAGAGAAAAGGGACGAAGCAGTCAGAGGACACGGGGGCCCTGGTGTTTCCAGCCTGAGTGACTGCGAGGCCGGCGACACCTTTGACTGCCACAGCAAAGGGAGAATAATATCACCCAGCTCTATACTTTACACACATATCTCTCAGATCATGCTTCTGGCCATATCGACTCCCTAGAGCATAAATCTGAGACTGGCTGGCACAGGCTTTAGAAAAGGCAGATTGCACTTTGGGAATTCCTGGTTAAGGCAAGTGGAAGGAGGAGCCAGTGGCGACTGTGAGAAAATGTCTGTCAGAGGTCGGCGGAGTCACACTTGTCAGGAGGCACAGCTCTTCAGGGAGGAGGAGGAGGAGGCTGAGGGCCGGCCCACGGTCTCTGGCAGAACAGTGGACTATGGAGACAGAAGCCAGGTTGGGACGAGCTGAGGAGACAGATGGTGGTAACTGGGGAGACAAAAGGTGGGCTGCTTTCTTGGGCGCTTGGAGAAAGGTGAGCCTCCGTTTAGTGGATTGGATGGATGAGACTGGCACAAGAGAAAGGAGCCGGCCCGGCCTGCAGCCTCTGCCCTCGGCCTCTGTCTCATCCTCACCCCAGGCTCCCTGTCCCATGAGATCTCGAGCATCTCTCTGAAACTTCGGCCTGCTCGTGGTAGCATTTCTCCACTGATGAGACATATCGTTCCTCTGTGTTCTGTGTCAGCTCTGGCTCCTTCCTTCTGAACAGAACACAGCAGCTCAGTTAGGCTGGACCCAACTCATCCCCTTAGAGTTCACCAAATAAGCCACAAAATGCCCGGGTCCCAGAGCGGGAGTCAGGGTCGAGGAGCAGGGACATCAGGAGAAGGCGCTGAGGCGGAGGAAAGGAGGCTGCTGCTGTCCACAGGCTCGTCCTCCCTTTCTAGACACAGTGTCTGGACGTCAGGTGTGTTTCAAAGGCAGCATGGAGACGTGGGAGAGAAGTAATGACCGCACCCCACCAGCAGAGTCCCCCCACGAGGTGTTTCGAAGTGGGAAGGGCCCGGGTCCACCCAGGTTCCTGTGCGGCTTACAGAAACTTTAGGAATCAAGGGCTGAACCCAGCTGAGCAAGCAGAGTTCAGAGACTTTCAGCAGAAATTAGCTTCCCTGTGTGCCCTGGCTCCCCAAAGTTGAGCTGAGTCCCCCTTTACTCTCAGGACAGTTCTGCATCTGACTGCTACAGTTGAGAGGCTGTGTGGAATCCCCTGGGAAAGTCCAGGTGCTGGCAGCTATGACAAGGACAGTTTCTGCTGAATTCTCCCTTTGCATGATTGCTCCATATGCATCATTGTGTTTGTTCTTTATAAAAACCCACTCAGTGTTAAGGAAACTGAATCTTAGGCTGATTAACTTGCTCAAGGTTACAGACCTCCGAAATAACTGAGGCCTAAGCCTTGGCCTGTCAAACTCCAAAGTCAGCTGGTGTTCCATAGAGAGGACGAGGACACCATTTCTCAATGCATTACCCAGTTGGAATATGCCTCCATCATTTTCACTTGTTGGCTAGAATCCAAAGCATATCAAGGATATTTTAACTGTAAAATTGTTGCTTCCCTTATTTCAAAAAATTTAAAACAACAACAACAAAAAACCCCCCAGGGACTTCTTTTTGTTTTTTGAGGGTCTCCCTATGTAATTCAGGCTGGCTTGAAACTTGCAATGATCGTCCTGCCTCAGCCTCCTCAGTGCTGGGATTACAGGCATGCACCATCACTTCTGGCCGTACCTTTCTTTCAGCAGTGGCATTATCAATTTAGGGGCAGAGGATGACTTGACTGTAAGGGCACCCTAAAATCCTGACCCACGGCCTGAGACCCAAGGCCTCCCACAGACCCAAATCCAGAAGTTCTCACTTTCCAAGGGCAAAAGGGAGCAAGGCTGGGCCTCAACAGCCAGGCAGAGGTGGCTGAGCGTGGGAGAGGAGGGGCTTCCAGCAGCATGAAGAGGGCCTGCCAAGCTCGTGGTTCCTTGGGTTCACAGCTTCTAACCTTTTAGAAGCTTAAATAAACTCAAACTTTCCTCACCCTGTGACCCAAAACAAGTTTCTGTAAACATAAATCAATATTAAGATAAATAAAAACACCCAGGCTGAATAAATGAAATGCCTGGGACCTTTGGAACGGGAACCCTGCGCACAGGCCAGTTTCTCTGTTTCTGCGCTGTCCCCCGGGTCCTGCGGAGCTGAGCCCAGGCCCCGGCCTGGAACAGATTTCAGCTGAGGAGAACCAGGCCTGGGACTCCATCGGCCCCTAGCAGTCTGCCTGGAGTCCTATCCCCAGCCTTAGGGGTTCCGGGGTTCTCCTCCCGCTCAGGCTGGGACACCTGGACTGATCTGTCTGGCTGGTGGGACCCGGTGGAGGATCTCCTAGCTTTTATTTGTCCAACTACAAATCAAGTTTTGCTGAGGTTGCGGGAGGATAAAAGAAATAAAAGGTGAAAAAGCAACAAAATCATTACTAAAAATTGTACCTTTAAAAGACCGCAATTTTTAGGACTCAGCCAAAGTTATCCAAGGTGAGCCATATTAACATTTTGGGGGTTAAATTTAAAAGGGTCTTTTCCTATCAGACCCATCACATATCAAATTCCTCAAAAATACTGAAAGTTCACAAATTGGCTTAGTTGAGAAAATAAAGAGCAGGAGCCTGATCCTAAGATAAAGGAACAAATTGAGAGAATCCAAGAATGTTTAAATTATCTAACAAACAAAACAAAACCTGTGTGCATACCTGTCCAGATCTGTAAAATGGGCTAGTACCTTTCTTAGGGGTGGGCCACATTTTTTCACCTTTTCACTACTTAAGCCTAAATGTTTCCTGTCCTAGGAAATAATGCCTCTCGTTTTCTGAGCACCCACACTCCACTCTGGAGTGCATCCTAAAATCTCTGCCTAGTAAACCTTAAAACATTTATACATTTTTTTTTGAGACATGGTCTTGCTATGTAGTTCAAGCTGGACTTGAGCTCAACTTTGCAGCCCAGGCTAGTCTCAGATTTGCAATGATCCTCCAGCCTCAGCCTCTCAGGGGCTGGGATTATAGGCATGTGCTACCATACCCAGAACAGTAAACTTTTTTTTCTTTTGAGGTGAGTGTCCCTATGCAGCTTGGGCTGGTCTTGAATTTGCTTTGTAACCCAGGCTGACCTCAAACTCACAACGATCCTTCACCTCAGCCTCCTGAGTCCTGTAATTACAGGCATGCACCACCACACTTGGCTTGGCATAGTAAACTTTTAATGATGCATCCTGAAAATTCTCTTTCTTGCAACCAGAGTCAGCAAACCTGAAAACTTAAGCTATAACAGGGTGAATTACATTCCTTATTCTAGCCTAGGGCTCTCATCAGACCCAGCCTAGTGACAAGGTCACTTGCCAAAGCCATGTGGAAACAAACATATAACTAATTTAATTTTTAGTTAAAATTAATTTTTCTGCCAGAGGGAGCAGGGGGATTTTTGATCCCTGGGGCTTCATTTAAAACTCTCTGGAAAAGTCTGTGCCACCTACTGGTGTTTTCAAGCCCCAAGCTGAGACTCCTCAGACTGCTCATTCCAGATTCTGCTCCTGAGTGCCAGCTGGAGACCCAGGGACACCATGGGACCAGTCTCCCAGGCATGAGGAAGGGCTGCCCAGTCCACAAACAGGAAGCAGAATTCTGCAGAGGACTTCCTTCCCTCCCTCAAGGTAAGAGTCCTGAAAAGTGAAAAATTAAAAAACAAAAACGTTCAACTGCCCATTATGCATCAGATGCTTTGGCCCTAATTTTGGGCAAATGATTAATGTATTGGCTCCTTTGTTACATTTTTATGTCAAATATTCATGCTTCAAATTTAGCCACTGAAAGTCCAACCATTCATTTTCATTTTGTTTAGGCAACATGTTAACAGTGCTGTATCTCTGAAAATAGCTACCTTCGAAACTACAGTCATCGTGTTCTCATCAGTCCTGTCCTTGCTGCCGGTTTAACTAAGGAAAGGAAAAGAAAGAAAGGGAGAACTGAAATCCAGGGTTGCTATCAAGGTTAGTTAAATCCTCAAATAATTGCTGTCTTAATTTGCATACTGCAGTAGTCTCCTGAGCGAAGGCTAGGAATCTTTCCTTGCCCTGAAAAACTCATGTGTGGTGGAAAGTGAGAGACAACCTTGGGCAAAACAATCAAGAGAACAATACCAGGGCATATGAAAATGAGCTCTGTTTTGTGTGTGTACTCGGCCATGTTTCCAGAACATGCAAATGCCTTATGCTTAGTTTCTTAGGCTTTTTGCACAAATGTATCTAAGGTAATTCTGTCCTCTCCCTAAACTACCATTCCAGCAGATAGGCTCTTCTGATGGGCCATCGTCAGTGAACCCCAAAGGGATTCCTTTTTGGCTTTTAGTCCACCTGGCTTCCACTCAGGTTTTCTATGTCATTCATAATGTGCAAAGCTCACCACCTGTGTGAAGCTCCAGTTGCTCTGCTGGGTCGTTTGCAAACCTTGGAGCCAGCATTTGATCTGTTATCGCGACTGCTCTTGCTTTAGAAGCTCTTTCCCAACAGTTCAAGCATGCAAGTTGAGTTTCTGCACATCAGCTGATTTCTCCACAGTTCCGCCCACCCAGCGTTCACTCAGGGAGGTAAAACTGTAGAAATTTAATGTTTATTAGTTTTTCATGAACTGATGGTGAGGGGAGCTTACCTTTGATTCCCCACCTCTTAGAGTGAACCATCCACAACCAGGTGAGGACATGATCCTGGACAAAAGGAACGTTTCCACTTCGGGAAGCCAAGATGCGGCACCGTGAGGGGAAGGCAGCAGGGGTGCAGGTGTGGGAGGCGGGCCTGGGTTTGTGGAAGTCCTTGCTCATAGCCCTCTTTGTCCTTTGAGCCACTGCATCTAGCTCCCGGGAGGGACCGGAACCCTCTTGCCCTCCTCCTGTTCTGGGCAGCCCTTGAGAACATAAGGGGAGCTGGGAAATGAGCCTCGCTGTCACAGGGCTTATTTTCCTAACTTGGTCTGTAGGCCTGGGCACAGGGCCCAGGAAATGCATTTTTTTAGGTGATGCAGAATTTAAGGCCCTGTGTTTTCTCAGTGTCTAAGCTGATGCTCTGAATAGAAGTCTCCAGAGGCCTGTGGCTGAACCATGGTGATTAAAATTGTAGCAGTTAGGACACGTGATTTCCAGGCTTGGAAAATGTATCATCATGATAAGAGTGATGCAGAATGAAAGCAAAACTGGGCCGTTCAGAAAACTGTACTTTTGCAGCACAATGTGTTCCACTAATGTGGAAATGTTAAGAACATTAAAAAGATCTTTATTCTTCCACATTGTTTATAGTTCTGCTTTTTTTCTTTCTCGAGGCAGAAAACACAATTTTACCCAGTTCCAGGCAAATTCGGATCTTTCAGGTTTAAAGCCACTGAAGCTTCCCTACGCTGAAGGCCCCGCACTTTTCTGGGGTCCATCATGGTACCATCGGAAACCTCCAGCCCCCGCTCTTCGTCTTCACCCAGGACATAGGTCTGTGTCTCCTCCTGCTGGTCTCTCTTTTATTTACCTTCTCAGGGGCAGGGAGGTGGGCAGGGAGAGGAGGTGGAGTCGGGGAGACAGGTTGGCAGACTTACTTAAGAACCATGGTTTTAGGATTTAAAACCAATGATTTGCTGTCTATTCTCTAGTTCCACCAAGATAATTCTCTTCTGAGACAAATGGCAGTCTCCTTCTCCACAGGAAAGGGGAAAGGTTGCAAAATACAAGGAGGAATGTATGGGGGCCATCCCTTAATGCTTCCCAGTAACACCCATGCATTTTGTTACTGAGGAGTCATTCTTTAATCTTCTATTGCTCCACCGTGAATACTACTGACTACGAACAATAAACAAACATGCTGAGCACAGGGCCAGCGCTGGCTGCTCAGCCGGTACAGGCGGGGATGCAGGGCGGAAAGCTCACAGGTCTTTGGTTCTCTCAGCACATCCGGAGAGAGCTGGGCTTGGACTGGCAAGCAAGGTGCTCTGTCCACTCCTGCCCTGCCCCTTCTAGTTTTCTTTCTGTTTCATCCTCTCTTCCTCCTGTCTTTGGAAGTATAATTCACCTATAAGAAAATATACACATATCAAGTGTCTAGCTCATTGAGTTATTTCCTGAGTGTAATAATTCCCAGAGTTGTTTCTGACAGACGATTATGATACAGTTTTGTAACTGGGACAAATGTAACCTGACTGTGCTCGAGAAAGGGTCTGCCTTTGGGTATCAGCTCTTTAGAGGGGTTTCTGTTTTGAATTCCTCAGCTTTATCCATCCCCATTCAGGGATTGTGGCAGAACTTCATTGTTTGGCAATCGGCAACATATTCTCCTGGTGATTGTTCAAAGCTCATTGTCTCAACCAGTATTTTCTGCAACTTGCTACTGGGTAGTTAGATGTGATTACCTTGTCTAGTGATGAACAAGAACGTTGTATTGGGTGCTAAGCATGGGAGAACTATAGTAAGCAAAGCCAGACACAATGCCTGTCTTCATGGAGTGGGCTATCTAGGAGTGACTTAGATAATTAAATAAACATCAAAGAATGTAGATTACAATAATGCCAAATGCTAACAGAAGAAAAGGGCTGTAGCTACTTAGGGACGGGAGGAGGATCTACTTTATGTCAAATGGGGTTGGGAATGGTTTCCTTTAGAAAATAAATAGGAGGATTTAGTTACATACACAGGAAGGGGGAGAAAAGGGTGTACCAGTAGAAGCAGCAGCATGTGCAAATGCCCTGTGCTGGTGGGAACCCAGTGCTGGGAAGGCACTGTGGCTGAGTCTCAGAATCAAGGGTGAGCAGTGAGGCCGGGAGACGGAGGTGTTCTTACGCTGTGTGGCCACATTAAGGAGTTAGGGTTTTATACTAAAAGCAATGGGAAACCTTTGAAGCCTTTTAAAGATGGTTTTTTATTTTACAATCATTGGTTTTAAAAACCTTGCTGTGTAGAGAATGGGTTGGAGGGGATTTGTGTGCAAACAGCTAGATTATTCTACTAATTCTGACATTGTTATCACCAAGTAGCATATTTAAAATTCCAAAGCATAATCGGCCTACTGCTTAGTGTTCTTTAAAAAGACTAAGTTATACAGACATAGTTTTTGGCCACTGAGAATCTGCCTTCTAAAAACTCAGCAATGGTGGAGCCCAACAGAATAACAAGAGACAAGTTAGATGGAAAATTGAGAAATAACTCATTAAGACCCACACCAACCAGACAATTAGCACATAAAGGAAATACAACTCACATTGCTTACAAATCTAGACATGCTGGGCATTTGAGACTTCATATTGATTAATTTCTCATAAAAATTTCATGTTGTAGATGATACTATATTCACTTTATAGAGAAATGGGCTTGGAAAGGTAAAAGGACTTTAGAGAAGCCACATAACTTGTAGGCTCTGTTTGTTCTGAAGTTAAAACTTGTTTATTACACTTCATTTCTTATAAGACACCATTTGGAGACTTTCATGTAGTATGTAGTAGTCTAACTGATCACCATAATATGATTGATAGGTAATATACTCTTCCAAAATAACCTCATTAAAGTGGGACAATAACATCTATATTCATTCATTCATTCATTCACTAAAAGATGTCAATAAATGTATGAGAGGTCTTATTTACATACAGAGCTTTATAAAGTAACCAAAGATAAATAATATACGGACTTTGCCCTTGAAATACCCTTTTTTGGGTGTGTATAATAAGAACCTTGTTACTGAGAACGTTTCTTCTTTACAGTCCACCCACATGGTTGCAGAGAAAGTCCCTGTGTGAGTAGAGAATGATCTAGCCTACTCCTCTGTTGACTGGTCCAGAATCCTGCAGGCAGCATCTTCCTCTGGGACTTTGGAAGTGGCATGGGGAAAGAGAAGTCAGTGTGGTTTGAACTTCAAGGTGGGTGTTTGGCCATGTGACTGGTACAGGAGCCTAGTAAAAGAAGGAGCAGACCTGCAGAGAAATGTAAATTCGAGGAGTTCAGTGGTGTCTCATGAAATTACACCGATTCCATTTGTGTGGTGCCTAGCAGACCTAATTATCACGGCCCACCTTCCCGCTGAGTGCTGACGTGTCCTACCCAGCACGGCACCCCGAGGGTCACAGTCCAGCAGACATTCTGCCTGCTCGCTTCCCCTCCTAAGAACAGCTGTGCTGTGTCATTCTTAAGTGGCTGCATGTCAGTGGCAGATGTTTTCTCTCTGGTTAGAACAAACCCTGGGTATTATACTCAGGTTAAGGGAATTTTGCATTTCATCTGAGGACCAGGAAATTGGAACAAGTCTTCACACACTTAGTGGTATCATCGTGTCAATTAATTAACTTAGTACCAATAGTGAACAGGATTCTGGGTTAACTAACAGTGTGATTTCTGATTTCATGCTGCTTTCTTTGCCTGATGTCCCCGTTCTTCTCTACTTGGCAAACTCATGTAGCCTTCAAAATTAAACAAAAAGGTTATATTTTTGCTAATATTTATTTTTGGAAAAGTAGTGTTCCCAACTTTATAATTGTGCATGACTTTATTCCTTTCTTTGTATTTTCTGTTGCCTGTATGTATGTCACTTCCTTAGAATCTACATGCTGTAAGAGGGTATGCCTTAAATGTTTTAGTCACTGGCATGTAATTGACTGAATGACAGTGAAACTGCACTTTCACATATGAAATACCAACATAAACTGTACTGATCAGCTTTTCCATTGCTGGGACAAACTGCCTGATGCATACAACTTAAAAGGAGGAAGAGGTTTATTTGGGTCAGTTTCAGAGGCTTCAATCCATGGTCAGCTGGCTGGATTACTGTGGACCTGAGGCGAGAAGGATCCCAGTAGAAGGTCAGAGTGGAGAAAAGCTGCCATTTCCTGGTGCCCAGAGAGCAGGGTCTGAGAGGAAGGTGTCAGAGAACAGATCTGTTCCCTGCGGTCACGGGGCAAACATACATACTTCTGGTGGTTCCATGACCACTTCCTCTAGCAGCCCACTTAGCTGTGAACTCAGGGTTAGCGAGGCTGGCATCTTCACGGTCCGGTCCCCGGGAGGAATTTCTTAATGCAGCTGACAATCAAAGTTAACTGCCACAGTACTTTAGCTGTTAACACTGCAAGAAAAACACCCTCACATATTGTCAAAGACAACCAAATAATCATTTAGGGGAACAAACTGGTCTAGCTGGGGACAAACTAATGAGTAAGAGCTGTAGTTTTGTAGAAAAATATCAATGTTTTAAATAAAAAGTCTAAAGTTCAGAATCAAACACACCAATGAAACTTTGAAAATATTTATTTTTTAAATTTTGGCGTTGGCAAACTCTAAGTATGTATAACTCAAGCCCTAAATTCAATAGGATTAATAAACAATTAAGCAAAAAATATTTTCCTTCATAATAAAGTCTATTGTAAAGCCTAACTCAAACTGTGAGGAACTACTGATATTCCTATCAAAACTAAAAGCTTTTCTCTGTAAGATAAAAACTCCTGCAAGTCAGTAAGGAAGAGATCATCAAATGGGCAAAGAAAATACAGAACAAGAGAAAATAAAACACAACTGGCTACTACACATATGAAAGGATGCTCAACCTCACACTAAGAGACATGCAAATGTATCACACAATTTTTATTTTTTCAGATAGTAGATTCCTGCCATTTATTAAAAAATGACAGATTAGCTCAGAAATTCAAGTTATTTAAAACTATTGCAATATAGGTTGCCAAGACACAGTGTTATAAATAATACTGCTAGAGATAATTGAGTAAGCAGTACTTCAAAATATTAAGCATGATAGTTTCCCTGTGTTGTTCACCAATATCCCGAGACATAGTCATTTAGGGCAAGGTCATAGGATGATGTAAATCCACACTTAGCTTTTAAAGTTATTTTTCTCACTTCTCATCAAGTTTGAGTTCTTTTATTACCTCAGTGTAGCAAAACATGTTTTTCAGTGTAATTTCCTTGGAAATATTTGCATTTGTTTCTTTCTGGAATCTTATTAAACTCTTTTGCAAAGATTATTTTTATTTTTTTAAAGAGGGTAAAATAAAACAAAACAGATCATAAGAAAATAATGTAAGAGACACAGATTTCAAAGCAAGACAACTGGGTATCTTCACTATCATATTGTCTCATTTTCTTTTGAATAGTTGTCCATATCTTTACATACAATGACTTCATACAAAACAAAATAATATAGAACCGATCAGAACAGGATGATGAAGGCATTTTAGGTCTTCAAGAGCAGACAATAGGGAAGTCAACAATGGCTGTCACAGTGTCTCTCATTCTCTTCAAAATAGTTGTCTATACCTTCAAGTATGTTGAAATTAAACAAAACAAAATAGACTAAAATCACTCTGAACAAAGGATAATAGTATTGCTGGACTTCACATCATGACACTGTGGAATCAGCACCGGGTACCTTAGTGTCTGTTTCTTCAAAGCAGCTGTTCATTTCATCGTGCATTATATTATTGATTCTCATAAACTTTTTAGAAGTTTTAAAACTTATTAGCAAAGATTGTTTGATGGCAAGCACACAGGGTAGGCAATGGGGCAGGAAAACAATATCCTGCTTCATTGGTAGAGAAAGTGTAGTTGACAAGACTTTTCTAAGGAAGGCAGTTTAGTAATACCTCAAAATATTAAACATTCTGATCTGAAATTCCACTTTTAGGAATTTCCCTTTAAATAGGCTTGAAACTTTGTAAAATGATTTGTGTGTAATATTACTCACTGTAGCACTGGGGTAATTGCAAAGTATCAGAAACCACCTAAATCAACAGGGAAATGAGTAAGTGGTTAGGCACATTTGCTAATAGAGGTTTATGCAACCATAGAAGAAAAATAGGATGAAAGAGGTTCTTTGTATACTGATAGAGAATTATCACCAAACATAGTTAATAAAAAAGCAAGGGGTGGGGGGTTGGGGATTTAGCTCAGTGGCATAAGCGCCTGCCTTGCAAGCAGGCAGTCGTGAGTTCGATCCCCGGTATCGATAAAAAGGAAAAAGACAAAAAAAAAGCAAGCAAGGGATAGAGCATTATGGGTTCTATGTTAGTAGTTATGAAACTGAAAAGAATGTACAGAGGTTTACATGTAAATGCACACACTACATCAGGAAGGATACTCAGGAACCTGACGTTAGTTGATCTTTTAGATATTAGTTGTCAAAGTGACAATTAACAGTGGGAGAATTACTATCGTAAATTTTAAAAAACCTTTTGAATACTAAACCATGAGCAAGTTCCTTATTTGAAAACGAAGGAATGAAATTATAAAATCTTTGGTCAGTGAAGGTACTGACATTTATCTCAGTCATCAAATTGAAGAAACTCTTAAGGGCTGATTCTTGAGGCTGGGAATACAGCTCAGTGAAGCAAGTGCCAACCTGGCAAGTGCAAGGTCCTGAGTTTGGTTTCCAGCATCAAAAAAGAAAAAAAAAGTTGCTTCTTGACTTGGTTTTAGGATGAACAAAAGAAAGCATATTTATTGGTATTGCCCATTTATGACATTCATCACCCTGAAGGTTGACATGATTAGAAAAATCTGAATCAAGGTGATATAAGCTCATGGACATTATTTTAATTTTATCTTTAAGGGAAATAAAAGGTATTGGAATAATGTCTAATCTCAGAAAGCGCCACAGAATAATAAAAGCTGTATCATGTCAATTTCCCTGGAGTCACTGTCAGCCAGATGTGAACTGCAATTCTGTCCTTTTTCACCGTTTTTTTTTTTTTTTTTTTATTTCCAGCAGTCCAAACCTTTTACTTATGGTGACTCTGGTTTTTACTTGTCTGACAAGTTCTTTGCTTAAATGTCCACACTGACATGACTAATCTTAATTGGTCTAGGATATTTGAGCTTTGTGAGAATTACTTTGTATCATGGTCACTTTGTGCTTGTTATGTTGTTCTATTCTGGTATCCAGGAATATTGTGTGTAACTTGATATAATCTTGCGTGATTTGGTTTAAAAATTATGCAGTTAGATACCTGTTGAGAGCTACCTATGCCAAAGGATTTTCGGGGAAAGATACAGCTATAGTGAATTCAGGGGAGCTAGTGTCTAGCAGTAAGAGCCAGAGGCTGTGCTCAAATGCTTGGCTGGAAACACAATTCTTCGAAGGCTGGACTGTGAAACTCAGAAGCTGTGTGCTAAACGAGTTGTTTCATTTCACACGGACTTTAGGTATGTTTCAAAGGGAAATGAGATATAAACAGAGATAACATATATTACCCTTAACGATCCAAGAAACATAAATGATAAAGCCAAAAAAAATGCCAACATGAGTTGTGTTCCCTGGGGCTTGTGGTGGATCAGCATGGTAAAGCAGCACCACCTAGAGGCAAATGCCATGTTGGCCACCTGTGGGCTTCCCAGGCTCCTTGTGTCTTCACTGGTCCACAGAACATTTAGACACCAGGGTTTTCCCACAGTCATTCAGAAATGTGGAGCTGAGGAAGACACAGAGTGGGAGAGAGGTTTGTGGTAGGATCATGGACAAAAAGCCTTGTTTTAGAACACCTCTTTCTAAAATGCTCAGAGCACTGGTTTTTAAATTGGGTATATCTTCCTAGCTCCAGTCATTTTGGTGCCTTTTATGTGGTTTGGTTTCTTTTTTTTTCCCCTTTGGTAAAGTTATCTGTAAATTTAGTAAATTATAGTTATGACCAATAATCTCCAGGTAGGCCAAAGATATAAAACTGTAGCTTTGGTTCTTTTTTTTTTAATCAGACTTTATTGGTACATTTAATTTATTTATTTATTTTTTTGAGCTTTGGTTCTTGCCCAATGGAATTACAAGATGAATTAAAATAGTAGTTTGTTAAGTATCTATCAAAACACAGAAAACGGGAGACCCATTAAAAATGAGGGTCAGCGTAAAGACCCATAAATATACTAG